CCCCCCCGTTTTTTTTTATGTAGGGTGCTGATTTTTCTTTTTTCTTTTTTCTTTTTTTCTTTTTATGCACTCTTTGCTTATTTGAACACAGGCAGACACGAGGTGGGTCTAGGCGGGACAGAGAGGAATTGGTACTTGGAATTGGTACTTGGAATTGGTATTTGGACGCGTGGGACTGCGAGGCTGATATCGGGACACGCGGCGGGATAGGTCGGGACTGAGGAGCTCAAAGTTTTGAGCACTTGGCAAGGTTAAGCGGAAGTGGAGCTGGCTGGCTGGTACCTGGGACACGTGGCAGGGTTTCGAAAAAGGGCCTGTTGAGGCTCTGATATCGGGACACGAGGTGGGTCTAGGCGGGACTGAGGAGTTGGTACTTGGACACGTGGGACTGCGCAGGCTGATATCAGGACACGCGGCGGGATCGTGAGGAGTTGGTGCTTGAGCGGCAGTGGAGAGGGCTGGTACCTGGGACACGTGGCGGGGTTTCAAAAAAAGGGACTCTTGAGGCTCTGATATCGGGACACGAGGTGGATCTCGTCGGGACCGAGGAGTCGGAGCTTCAGACACGTGGCAGGATTTGGAGGGACTTTGTGGTGCGGTTTGTATCTGGACGACACGTGGCGGGTTTTCTGAAAAGGGACTGCGAGGCTGGTATCGGGACACGCGGCGGGACTACTAATTAGTGGGGACTGAGGAGTGGGTACTAGTGGGGGGGGACACGTGGGAAGATCAAGCGGGGGACTGGAGCTGGCAGGTACGACGTGGACACGTGGCAGAGTCAGCGCGGACTGGGAGGAGGAGCTGCCGGGGTGGGACACGTGGCATGGGACACGTGTCCCGTGGCACAAACGTGGCAGAATAAGTGGGACTGGGAGCAGCTGGGACACGTGGCAGAATCAGTGGGACTGAGAGGAGCTGGGACACGTGGTATGAACGACGACGATGCAAGTATGACTGCCAATGCGCGCCAAGCGCAGGGAGCACGGGGGGATGGCGGAATGGCCTTGACTGCTGGGTTGGGGATTCATGGTGATGAAGAAGCGCGCCGAGCCCGGGAAGAAATGGGGGAGGGGGGATTTGGGGGGTCGTGTGAGACGGGGTTGGCCTGCACGAGCAGCAGGAGGGGAGGTAAGGAGATGGGAGAGTTGGGACAGGGAGGAGGGAGGGAATGGCCGTGGATGACCTCTTGGGTATGTTTGGAATCGTTTTCGTCTAGAGGAAGGGAGTTGATTGAAGAAGGAGGAGGAGGAGGAGGAGGAGGAGGAGGAGTTGTAGGTGGAGGAAGGATATCGGGGAGCAGGAGGTGGAACAGAGGGAGCAGGAAGAAGACGGCGATGGATGGAGGTCGAGCTATGTCTTCGCTGTCGACCTTAGCTATGGCGGTCGTCACTCTTGTTGCTCTGTTGACGTTGTCTTCGATGGATTTTATAACCCTTGCGGCGGGTGGTCAGTCCCCTTGGCGTTTGATCCCTTTGTCTCCCCCTTCTTGCTCCCCCCACTCCCCCCCCTCCCCCCTCTTTCCTTCCTTTTCCCCCTTCGCTTCCTTCCCCGCCTTCCCCCCTTCCTCTTGCTTTTTTTTTTTTTTTTTTTTTTTTTTAAATTTGGAATAGGCAGTGACCCGTATGCTTATCCTATGCATCGCTCCATCTCTGATTCTGTCAGGGTTTGAGTTCATGATTACCTGTTTATGAACAGGTACACGTGTCGTGTGTATATGCCCCCTCTTTTATCCGTGTCTAGATCGTGATGACCCCATGCGCTCTCCTCTCTGTTCCGCTCTGTCTGCCATCTCCTTTTTTTTGTTCTCTTTTTTTTTTTGTGGCGTTCTTTCGCTCTTGTCTCTGTGTTGGCTCTTGTGCTTTACCTCTTTTTTTTTCTGTTTTTTTTTCCCTTTTTTCTGTCGATCTCCTCAGCTTATGATCACGAGTCTCATATTCTTCCGCCTCCCCCCCCGGCCCCCCCTTAATACCCCTTTTTCCGAAAAAAAAAAAGGGAAAAAGAAGAAGAAAATGGAGAACTCATGCAAGAAAGGGGGTATGGAAAGAGAGGCCCTTTTTTATTTTTAAGCTTTTCCTCTTTCCGTCTTTTTTTTTTTTTTTTGGAGCTTTCCGTCTTTTTTCGTCGTGACTCGTGAGTGATAATGTGTCCTCAAGAGGGCAAAGAAGCGGTGGCCTGCTGACGTCAACATTGTTGAACCTGTCTCTTATACACATCTAGATGTGTATAAGAGACAGGGTTTGTATATGTGTATTATAATTTCTATGCGATAACATACGCGCGGGGGGAGGCGGAGTATCATCGATCGACGAGTGAGGGCACGCTCACGTTAAGACTTTCGCGAGTCACTGTGGACGTAATTGCAGCCAGATGCATCCAGCTCTGGGCGTAATAGCGGTCAGATGCGTGTAGAAAAAGTGCTACTATGCTACTAGTAGTGCGAGTATGCCCCCCTCGAAGTCGTCGAAGCTTGTATTGCGTGCCATTCGTGTTGAGCAGGTGATAGACACAGACAGGGTGGAGGGAGAATGGGATTATAATAGGATTATTATAGGATTATTATAGGATTATTATAGGATAGGAGTAGTAGTGTGTCCATTGAGAGTTCGTGAAGAAAGGAGTAGCTTACTTACGTATGACACGCACAAATTAAGAAATGGTATATGGTATTACGTCACGACGAGTCAAATCTGGCAAAGCAGATTCGGCTGGTCAGATTGGTAGGGGTCCCGACTAATTGGGTTCTCTGTCGGGATCGGTAGTTGGAGGGAGGTGAGAGGAGCAATCAAGACTTCAGATTGATTGATTGGTAGGGATCCCGACTGTTGTCCATTGGGCCGCCATGTCTCACCTACAGGGTGTGCGAACGGCTGCAGGAGAGCGATAAAAAA